CTCCCCCCCCCACCTCTTTGTTAAACCACTAAGCCAGAAGCTCAAAGTGCCCCTGAAGCATCTATCCCATGGTAGTTATTGTTGCTGTTTTACAAGTGAGGAAAACGAGCTTAGGGCGAGTCCCCTGTCAGCCCTCATGCAGCCAGGTGCTGGAGCTAGGACTTAACCCCGTGTCTGGCTCGCCTAGCTCCCGGGCCGCCTGTGGGCTTTCTCTTCCTTGTCAGAAGGCTAAGGAGACGGTCGCTGCGGCACACGCATGCACTCACATGTGCACACATATGCACACAGATGCACACATTTTTTGTTTCTGCATGTGGCCTGCCTCTCCACTCCTGCCCTGCCCGGCTGAGCACCAGGAACGTTGGGGTGGTGCTCTGTGACAGTTGACGTCAGGGGTGGCTGCCAGTGCAGGCAGCCAGCTGTCCAGGCTCCGTCATTCCTGCCCATAGTCCTGGGCATCTGGTGGCTCCTTCCTGGGGCCTTTGGGCTGCAAGGGATTAGTCATGGTCCCGGCTCTGGCAGCTGAGCCAAAGCAGAGATTTTCTCCAGCTGTGCCTCTGCCCTCCCTACCTTCGTGGCCCTACCAGATCCTCTCAGTGGGGACCTTTGTCCCCACAGGCATCGGAGTCAGAGCAGCACGTTCCCATTTCTCAAGCATCCATGTGGTTCACTGAATGTGTGAGAGGCCAAGACTTCGTGCTGGGCAGACCCAGTCCTAGCCTGGGCTCCATCACTTTCCAACCAGCCACTGAGCTGCTCAGGGCCTCAGTTTCCCCATCTGTAAAAGGTGCATGATAACATGCCTTACACTCCCTGCCTCTCCTGGATCTTTGTGGAAGAATCTCTAAGGATGTCGGTAAGGATTGAATAGTATACAACCGGGGGTCCCGTTCCCAGGATTACGGTGTGGAGTTGGGCAGTGCACAGCCAGCTCAACCCTATGTGGACAGCCTGACGGTACAGGATTTCCAAATCCCCACAGCAGGAGTGAATTGACCCCCAGGTGTTCATTCTCGAGTCTCACTCCCCTCATCCTGGCTTGAGATTCTTCCTGGGGAGTCCTCAGTTCACAGGGATGGTGGTTCTTGGTGCATCTGGGCAGGTGATGTGCCCCTGGGTAAGGCTGAGTAGGTGGTGGATTCTGACAGAGCTCTTGGCTCCCTGTTTCTATAGATGGCCATCGTGTTCAACCAGGAGGGCCTGAGTGCCATCCAGCCACCCTGTGTGGTCCAGAACTTCATCAACCACAACGCTGTTTTGTACAAGGTGTTTGTGGTGGGCGAGTCCTACACCGTGGTCCAGAGGCCCTCGCTGAAGAACTTCTCTGCCGGCACGTCAGGTAACCAGGCTTCCCGCTGTCGCAGGGGCCCGGCTGGGACAGGGCGTCGGCCGTCTGTCCTGCCGCACTTACCCTGCTACCCTGTGTTATTTTGGAGGGGGCAGGGATGATGTGATCTGAAGGGTGGAGGAGGTCTGCTCAGTAGTGAGAAGTCTTGGAGAACGAGGTAAAACCCCACTCCACCGGGTCATTGTAGGAGCTTCATCCTCCCGGACCACTGTAAGCTCCGGGACTCCTCCGAAAGCTCTCCGCGCCCAGGGCACTTCCTGGGGGCCCCACAGAGATGACACGCATGAGGAACATGCTGGAATGGGTGATTGGCCCTTGAGGGAAGTGAGGGTTTGGGAAAGGGCCCCTCTTATTTTTTGAAGGCCAGAGTGCTGACTGTTTTATCATGTCTTTTTTTTTTCCAAATGGGAAGGCCCAGTGTTACTTGCTGCTTCTGCGGCCACTGAGTGGATGTGTGCTCCGTTAGAGGTCACACAGGGTCCAGCACTTCCTAGTTGTGGGACCTCAGGCAGGTCCATGTGGGCACAGTCACCCCACCGTGTCCCCCCTTACAGGGGTGAGGACTGAGCGAGCATGTTTTGGATCCCAAGTGTCCCTCAGATGGTCACAGGGTGGTGGTGTTTTTAGGATGCTGCCATTATTTGGGGCATTTGAGGGGATCCTGTAAGGAGACTGAGGGGCTCCACAAGCTCAGTTTTATTAATTAATTAATTAATTATTTATTTAGGGAGAGCGAGTGCATGAGCAGGGGAGGGGCAGAGAGAGAGAGAGAGAGAGA